TTTTCTTTTGTCTGTTTGTTTCTCTCTCTCTCTCTCTATCTCTATTTATCTATCTGTGTGTCTGTCTGTCTATCGTGGAGTGAGTGTGTATGCGTGTGGAAGAAAGAAAGGTAAAGGTAGATATAGACATAAAGATAGATAGATAGATAGATAGAAGAAAGAGAGAGATAGAATTAGAGATAGATAGAGAGAGAGAGAGAGAGGAACCCCCCTCTCTTCGTCCCTTAATCTCTCTCTCTCATCTCTCTCTCTCTCTCTCTCTCTCTCTCTCTCTCTCTCTCTCTCTCTCTCTCTCTCTCTCTCTCTCTCTCTCTCTCTCTCTCTCTCTCTCTCTCTCTCTCTCTCTCTCTCTCTCTCTCTCTCTCATTCTCTCATTCTCTCTCTCTCTCTCTCTCTCTCTCTCTCTTCTCTCTCTCTCTCTCTCTCTCTCTCTCTCTCTCATTCTCTCATTCTCCCATTCTCTCTCCCTCACCACCAAAGACTCGTGAAGAACATGGTGATGGAGACCTACGACAACTCCGGCCACTTCGACATCACCTTCATCACCTTCGTCTGGATCGCCTTCTTGCCCACCGTCACCACGCCCGCCCTCTTCGGCGCTTGGAAGATCAGCAGGTGAGTTGGGAGGCGTTTTTTTTTTTTTTTTTTTTTTTTTGGGGGGGGTTCTGGGAGTACGGTTGGTTGATTTTGTTCGTTTGGTTTTTTTGCTTGTTTTGGTTATTTGTTTGTTTGTCTATTTGTGTACTTCCTAATTTACTTAGTTATGTATTTATTTGTTCATTTGCTTATCTATTTCTCATCTGTCTATCATATTATCTATATATTCTTTCATCAATATATCTATTTCTTTATTTGTAATTTGTTAGAGTGTAATTTTTTTTATTCTCTGTCTGTTCTCGTTTTTTTTTTCTCTCATTTCATATGTTCATTGATTTATTTAATAATTCTCATTTTTCATTGTTTTACGTTTCATTTAATCAAGCTATATTACACATAACTTTTTTTTTTTTTTTTTTTTTTTGCCTTCATATTAACTCTAATTAGTTTGATCCATTATAACCAGTATGGGTTGCATGATGTCATGATATTCCAACATGCAGTAATTTCTGTCCTAAAGGCCGTTGATAATAGGATAACCCTTTACCATGCAAACCACTGCAATGTGTATCAAAATGCAAATCACATGAAATATATATATTGTTCAGAACTATATATGATTCCGTCTGGCTTTGCATGTAGGGCCGTTGTACCAGTTTCGCCTTGTAATGTAAATCTTATTTGGTCCTTTTATGTTTGTAAAAGGTATGTGGATATTGATATGTAAATGTGTATGTTGAAGCATGGATGTATGTATGTCGATGCATCAAGTACGCATGTTGTATGCACGTTGTTGTATGAATGTAGGAATTCATGTATAAGCTGTTGGACTGATGTAAGAAAAACGGTTGCATATTCTACGTTCATTGTCTTTTAATTGCATTTGCATTGCATCATGGATATGCAGCGTGAGGGATTTTACCGAATTAAATAGGAGAGTAATATAGAATAAGAATTTTTTATGCACACACACACACACACACACACACACACACACAACACACACACACACACACACACACACACACACACACACACACACACACACACACACACACACACACACACACACACACACACACACACACACACACACAACAACACACACACGCACCACACACACACACACGTCACCACATACACATCTGTGTATATATATTATATGTATATATATATATATATATATATATATATATATATATATATATATATATATATATATATATATATATATATATATATATATATATATATATATAATATATATATATATATATATATATACATGTATGTGTGTGTGCATTGCACATACACACACAAATGTATCTTGGTGCGTACATGTGTCTGTCAATTATACTTTGATTAAGGATAATTACAATGACTATGAAACCGATGAAATCGCTGGTAATTATAACAGTTACGGTGCTAGACACTAAGAACCTATGTTAAGTTAGAGACGGAACGCCTACGTTAGGGATTAAGGGACTAAAAAGTTTGGAACTAAATCAGAAGTTAAGTTCAGGAGCTAAGTTTTTTGTCTTTAACTTTAACTTGGTTCTTAAAGGTCAAGTTGAGAAGTTCATTCATGTGATTAATTTAGAAGGTAAACAGTGGGAAATGAACTTCAAATTAAGCAATAGACCACGCGTTTCCTCCGGGCCCACACTGTCCCTACGATGAGATTTTTTTTTTTTTTTTTTTTTTTTTTTTTTTTTTTTTTTTTTTAACTGCACCATTCATTGATATTCGAAAGCAAGATAGAAGATTTACTTTTTCTATTTACACCTAATATACTAGAATACAGTATATACATACACATACAAGTACTACATACATATACATACATACATACAGACAGACAGAATGTACGTAACATATTTACACATCTAAGAACATATATACA